AAGGCAAACTAAAGAACATCGAGGAAGTGACTGATGATTTGGAAAACACTGAAATCGTGGACATTCCTGCAGTAGTGGAAGAGCCAGAATATAAAAATCCAGCAGTTCAAGAGCCGAAAGTTGATCGAGAAGATGGTACTGTCGAGATCACGAATGAACAAATTGCTGAGGAGCATTTAGAGGTTATTCAGGTGGAGCCCGAAGTGACTAGTTTTGATGAGAAACTGTCCTTATTTGAGGAAATAGCTGATTCAGTTGTCTCTGAAGGAGATGATGTGGCTAAAACTGATAACTCTTGTGAAAACTTACCAGGTATTATGCTATCAAAAGTAACTGTTTCAACAGAGAAAAACTCTCAAGTGGCGAAAGAAGTCGACTCTGTGGAAGAGACATTAACAGCGGCGAAAGTGGTAATGACGGAAAGTATAACAATTTTGGAATCACAGGACGAACATGCTGAAGAACTCCCATCAGACAAGGTGATTACGGACGAAGCGACTATTGTGAAAACTGAAGAATTGTGGGTGGCTGATAAAACTATGAGTGATAAAATCGAAGACATCACTAGGCCAGTGGAACATGAGTATGTAACGTTGCAGAAAAATGCGCAAAATCTGCTTGAATCATCGAAAACTAAACCCGAAATAATGCTCAGAAGGAAAACTGTAGAACCGGACTTAGAAAAAGTGGTTTGAGTAAAGAATCATCTGATTCTGAGTGCAATGGGCCAACTAGCGATAAACCCGTACATGATTTGCCAGCATTAGATGAAGACGCCAATTTAACTAAAATCGCTACGGAAGTTAAGGAATTTTCCGACCCAGAATTGCCAATAGAAGAAAACATCCCCATCGAAGAAAATGCGCCAGCCGAAGCTCAGCCTGATGTAGAATCCATAAACGCTGCATCGAATTTGGAGACTCTTTTAGCAGTGGCGTCATTACAGAACGAATCTGTTGTTGACACCACCAGAGGGCATCAACGGTTAAACGAAAATAAATTAGGGAAAAGGAAGCCATCGATAACAGACGAGCCTACTTGCTGAGGAACGAGCGGGTGCAGCAGAATCTGTTCGATGCCAATCAGGCCGAGAGCTGGATGAGCGAGCAGGAGCTCTACATGATGGTGGAAGATCGGGACAAAGATGAGACCAGCGTCAGGAACTTCATGAAGAAGCACGAAAGTCTGAAAGCGGCCGTTGAAGCTTATGCGGACACCATCAGAGGACTGGGTGAAACTGTAAAGGCTCTGTCGGCTGAAGGACATCCGTTCGCCGAGCAGGTCGCTGTTAAACAGTCGCAACTGGACAAGCTCTATGCCGGACTGAAGGATTTGGCGCAAGAACGACGCGCTAAGCTGGATGAGGCCTTGCAGCTCTTCCTGCTCAACAGAGACGTTGGCGACTTGGAGCA